GATGGATGCATGCATGGATAGATGGATGGATTGATCGATGGATAGATGGATAGATGGATGGTGGGTGGACAGAAGAATGAAACAAAACCTGATCTTGGGGTTTTGATTTTGTACAATCATACAAGCCCACTGTGTACGAAGTAACATGTCTCTTACCCTTAACATTTGAATTCCACTCAATTTGGAAGACTTTGCTTGCGTCGCAGTCACATGATCAGGATATACCAGATGGTGAAAGTTGATAAGATCTACAGCCTCATCAAAGCTAAAAACAACAACAAATGGTATCACAAGTACTTCACATTTTTCATATACTTTAAGTTAATTTTAGGAGCCTTTTATGAACTTGGGAGAATCAAGGGTGGCATAATGGTGAGGGTGCTCGCCTGTCATTAAAGCAACCTTAGTTTGATTTACAGGCTTGGTATTATATGTGAGTATAGTTGTTGCTTCTCTCCTGTGCTTTCATAGGTGTTCATTGGGCTCTCTGGTCTTAAGAAACCTCCTTATTTTAAAATCAACTTCTAAATTCCAATCTAATTGTAGATTTGAGTCATGCTGTGATACAACAGCCAAAGCCATTCCCTTCCTCCCCCCCCCCCCCCCAACACGATAATTAATGCCCTAGTTTCTGCCTGCCTGCCTGCCTGCCTGCTTGAACAGGCTCATCCTGAAGTGCTTGAATGCAAGGTTAGCTGGGCAAAAATCTATACAGGGTAGTTCAAACTGACATGGCTGCTGCATGATGAAGGTCTAGATTTAGAACTTACTATTCATTTTCTGTAAAGTAATCCAACAAATTGCCCAGATTTTTGTGTTTCATGAGATAATATACAAGACCACCAAAGTGCCGAGTTGACCATAGAAGCTCAAACTTATTTTCCTTATTGATGTTATCATAAATTGTGTCATGAACCTTGGGATAAGATAAAGAAAAGTCAAAATATGAGTGAACGAAGGAATGATATGTTGACCCAATTCCTTCATTATATTGATGTTTATAAAATGAAGAGTTTATGAATATGAGGATTACTCACTCACTCAGTCACTCACTCACTCTCTCATTAATTAATCTAATAAATCAGTCCAACTTAATTTTGGAATTTCCTTAAAACATTTACAGCGCTTCTCAATTACAAGCGTCAGTGTACCCTGCCAACAGAGTCTTCTTTTACCTCCTCTTCTCTCGCCCGTAGAGGAGTTAAGAGGAGATTAATCTGTTCGCAGGGTATTACGAGCACAAAATCGTGAAATTTTTTCCCGCGTCAAAATAGTTTTTTGGTGGCACCTTGAATCAAAGTGTTTTCTAAACATTTTCTAAGCATATGTGCCTATGGAATGTCATGGAAATGCATTGATTGACGTCCACCAAAACCTACTTCATCATGATGGCAAATTGTACGATTTCACACGTGGTATTGAGAAGTGCTGTAAAGCTTGATAAAATAGTGGTCGTCCTAGCTAGTGGAATGGTGCATGTGTTTTTGGGGAGGGGAAGCCAGGAGAGGAAGAGAGGGAGGTTAATGTACGATGTAAATTTTGTGGAAGTGTACTTTCATTAATGATTTACTCACTCTTATATAATCTGCAGTGTCTGGTTCAAATTGTACACAGACCAAATCCAGAATATCTTCATGTCTGTTTTGTGATAGTGGAACCTGATCAATAAAAATCAGTATAATTAACAATTACTGATATCATCTTCACTTGCCATCACTACCATCTTCCTCAACATCAATGCTGCCACCAAAGTCCATCATCACTATCATTACTATCACCACTAACATCACCATTATTATACTCATAATCATCCAATATCATCATCATCATCATCATTGATCATCATCACTATCATCATCATCCATCATCATCATTAATGCCACCACCAAATTCCATCATCACTATCATTTTTATCACCACCAACATCATCATTATCGTAATCATCTAATATCATCATCATCTTAACCACCATCACTGTCATCATTCTCAAACTTTCCATCATCATCCATCATCATCACTATCACCACCATCATCAACACCACTATCACAATCATCAGCACGAATATTATCATCATCATCATTATTACCATCATCATCTTCATCATGTACAATTCATGTCAAACATGAATTGTACAAAATACATGTATATTTAAGCCTCGCGTGAGAATGTAAATTATTGACAGTACCTGAATTCCTGATTCTGTCAGCATCTCAGGGGTCTCCCATTTACGACCCTCTTTAGGAAAATAGATAAAGTTTGATGCATCCCTTTCTGCCCATGTTGCCGCTCTTAATCGCCCACTTGGTTCTCTAACAACTATTCTACGAGTCTATAATTATTGTTCAAAATATTATGTAAGTTATAAAAATTTTCCAAACCACTAAGATACCAAACATAGCCCAGAAAGTGTGTGGGGTCTGAGTTCATTTATTCTACATGTATAACTGTCATTTAAGTCAAGGAGGTTTTTAGACACGGAACCATCACACTAATTTATAATTACATGTAATATATAATGGATCATCTATGAAATACAGTTGTATCTTTTTTTCTCCATCACTAAAAAGTGATATATGACATGTGAAGATATTACATGATATCTTGACATGTGAAAATAACACCATTGGTAGGACACTCAAAGATTAAAATCATATCTCAGGCTTGGCGAATAATAGTAATACCCTTCATTGAGAGGGCATAGATAAGAGAGGCAAACTTCTTATTGTTGCGTGCGGCAAGTAAATTCCTGGTTGGGCTGTGCGTCACCTAGGGCTGGCTACTTCCATCTGTTGTTTTGATCATTAAAGCGACTAAAAATGAGATCAAAACAATGAATGGAAAGAGCACACACACGTGCTAGTTGACGCACAGGAGTATAGGGTAAGGCAAAATTTAAACTGCATCCGGTTACTAATAATAACCCAACCGGGAATTTACATGGTGTGCGCCACAACAAGTTTCCCTCTCTTATCTATGCTCTCTTGCTTTCATATAATTTGCTTTTTTAAATAAATAATAATAATAGTTCCAGTGTGCTTCCTTACCCTATCATCCACACTGGTACTGATATCGGTAAAGACATAATTTGCAGTGTCATAGCCAGAAAGCCGTTCATCAATATCGATAACCTCATCTATCTCCTGTCTTTCTTCCATCACTGGTGGCATATCCAGTAATTCTTCAGCCCTGGCTTTGGTTTCTTTCTCCGCCTGGCACAAATGAAAAGAAAATTGGAATCAAGTTATTGTAGCTTTTGAATATCTGAAGGAATAGATACAGTATGAAATGCTTATGGTTTTGGTAAACCTACAGTCATTAACAGTTCGACTATACCATCCAAGGTCACGCAAAAAAATTCCCATATGTACGTGCGTACAAATTCTTCAATCACGATTGAGCATTCAAACAATAGAATCTAAACAAATTTTAAATCTTTTCGCTTTAAAACCATATTTTACTTTATACATCCATCACGGCCTAAAATACTGGCCAGAGTCATCAGACAATGTCCGCCAATAACTGGGGCTTGTCTGGTCAAATCTTTGCCTTGCTGGTCATTTTGACCAGTAACGTTGAGCCAGAAATGAGGTATGACTAAGCTAAAACTAATTTGGCCGGTGACCATGACCAGGGACTGATCGGTCATTATCTTAAGCCTTGTACATGTATGTATGTGTGTGTATGATCAAGAGTGTACACGAAATGTTCCACCAGAACTCTTTGCCATCTTGTCAAAAATATAATGTCAATTTTTGAGTTTTTGCAGAACATGAGAGAAGTGTTATGAGAAGCACAATTGCCAATCATCATCATCATCATCACTATTATTGAGATTTTAATCATTTATAATAATAAGTGAACCCAATTAATGTATCATAGCATGTACAAGATGCTAAATATAGGACAAATGATAATACTGTACATGTATAAAGACAGTACATGCACACACAAGTTGGTTACATGTACATAAGTGGGGGTAGATGATTGGAAAATGTAAGAGACTCGTATACAAAACGAAAACAGTAGGGGAGGTTAAAGCCCCTCCCCCTCGGCAGTCCCTGATTACAGCACATATTATTACAAACAATGTAATGGAGCCAGTATAATGCATTCTTCCCTCTTGTGTACTCGAAGGGAGGAGGAGGACTCAAAATGCAATAAACCATTAACTTTTCTAGAAAAATCCTGATTTTTTTGAAAAATTGTAAGTTGACATTAACTTAAACCACGTGCACTACAGCAGTGAAGTGCATTAAACAGTGAAGTGGTATATTTAAAGCTTATAAGGTCTGACTTGCAAGGGGTAAATTGCATTTTAAAAACATTAAGCAAACATTTTGAAGACAAATCCATTCATCTAATTTTACCTCTAATAATTCTTCGTTTGTCATAATTTTATAAGTGGGTACAGAAACATCTTGTGGACGCCTTGACAGAACTTTTTCCACTTCACAGCCTGTTAGCCTCTTAAGTATCGCTCTAACGCGTTCATCATCGAAAGAAAGAATCTTTCCGCCCGTAAAATGGGCTTTACTTGTAGAAATTGCTCTAATTGGTAAAGAATTTATGGAAAAAAAACGGTAAAATCGCGAAGTCAAAGCAGCCGCCATTTTGAATCTTCTCTCACTAAACCAACACAGGTAGCCCAACTACTTATAATACTAGGTATGAGATATTGAATTTTTTTGACTTAGTTTATGCAAAAGATTTATATGAAAATCCTAAATTTTACAGATTTCAAATGCAGTCGACCGTTTAGAGGCCATTTTATGGAAGGTTTTTTAAGTAGTTCCCTAAAAATGTTTTAGCCTTAATTGGGCTGCCTGTGGTGACTGCTGACTGCTGACTGCCAACATTCACACACTCACCGGCTATCCCAGTAAGAGCAGGTTTCGCGCCAACTTTTAAACTTCTTTTATATTGAAGAGATGCCTTCCAATCATTACGGAAAGCTGCCTGTAATAGGAGTTTGGGCTTTGTTTGGTTCATGTTTTTATTTTTTTCTTGCTTATCAAACTATAGGAGAAAGAGGTGCTAGGAATAGGGTAAGGTAGAGGTAGTAGTTGTACCTTATTGAGCTATGTCAATGATTATAATGTGTCTACATAACAGCCTGCCATAGGAATTGATGGTTTCATACACCTTTTTTAGCATAGTGTTTTCCCAATTCAGACCATGGGACATTCCCTTTAGAATAAGATTCTTTGGTTGAGATGTATCCATATTCATGTGTCTTCTCATGCTCAACCATGAAACAAAGAAATGATGCTCTAGGGAATGACAAATTGTCCGAAATGGGAATACAAAATGCCTAAGGTAAAATGCTCTATTATGTTTGTTTAGAAATGGATAGGAGAGATGCTACAACTCACTCCTCCAGCTACAGAAAACAAAGACCTGACTGATCATCAAGCTATATTGGAAGCTACTACATATGACCCAAAGAATAAAGAATAATGATCAAAAGGTAATACACTTAATTTCTTATGTAAACTTCCACAATATGCATCATACAAATAATTTTATCTGCATTCATGCAACTTATATAGACCCCTTGGATGTGACATTGAAGCAGCTCAATTTGGAGGACAAAACGAAAGAATTTGATCTCCTGAGAATTGGAAACCTAATGTTATGACCTCAAAATTGAGCTGCATTCTGACATACTGCCAAGGGTTTATTAGTGAGATATATGCATGTCTTATATTGCCTAAATATAGCCTTAAACTCATCCTTTGGAGTTCCTGTGTACTGTAATTATGAGAGAGGAGAATGRGGCCATGTCTCAGTCTCCTCTCTTTCATCTTCTTGTACACCACACACCACAGGACTCCCATAAGTTAGATTAGCTAGTCTATGGAGAAGCTTAGCTCAGTGGTCAGAGTTGAATGTACCCTAACCCCATCTCATTTGAGCACTGTAGTGCAAAATAAGAGAAAGTGTTATGAGAACAGTATTTTCCTAATCTAGACTCAGTAAATACATAGTTAGAGTTGCAAATGAATCTACATGTACCCTAACCCCATCTCATTTGAACAATGTAGTGCAAAATAAGATAAGTGTTTTGGGAACAGTACAGTATTTTCATAATCTAGATTCAGACATCCTTCAAAACTTTCAAATTTTGTTGAAGTGAGAGTTACATGTATGCATGTTCACTACCACTACTCCACCCTTGTTTTCCATTGCCATGACACAGACATACATGACACATACATTTCTAGACTTGATTTTATTCTTTCTCCAAATTCTCATAGAGAATTACAATGATTAAATACCTGAAAGTCCAATGTTTTATAAACAAACAAATATCTACTGTATTTATTTCTTTTAATTCTAATGTATCTACCACACTTGTTACTACATGTATACCATATCACTGTAAAGCCATACAACCATCCCAATATTTCAAAGGCAATTTACTGTTCCACAAGCTTGCATATACAATTATTATATTATGGTAGACTTACGAGTTATATATAAGTTAAGAGGTAGAGTAAGAGAGAAAAATGCTATTTATATGTGCTAACTCTTTAATTTGAATCTAATTATGTATATTAGTAGTACCATAACAGGTTAGGAACCTCTAGACTGCTTTCTTGCATGTCTGCGAACGTTGATATTGAAAAATAGATAAACATAGTCAACCTCATAATTTTCCAAATTATGCAACCGACTTAACCCCAAGTTGTCTGGGGTTTTGACTTCCCTCAATCAAACAATTATGAACTGAGACTGGATTGAAGATTTGATTGACGTAAGTCAAAAACCCAGGCGACTCAAATTAAAGCTAGTTGTGTGGGTCACATAATTATGAAAACCGATATAAGGTGGATGTATAATACTAATGAAATAAATGAATCATCTGCACAGACACAGACAGCACCAGCCTCTTGTAGCCGACTTGCACTTTTGAACTCATCAGAGTACATATAGTGAAGTGACTGTTATAATAATCAGACTCTGGACAATAAAACAACCCTTGGGTGAATTCATTATATTAGGGTAATAAATATACCCTCCTTGACATCTAGATTCGTTGACTGTGTTATCTAGTTTCTCAAGCTATGTCCAAGGACAAAAAATATGTATGTACATGGAACATTGAAATCTGTCTTAATGCCCCAGTATATGCAATATGCCATGTTATGACCAATTTGGACAGTCTTAGATCTTCAAAGTACATTATCATATGTAATGCATATTACATTTTACATGTATGATTTACATTTACATTTACGATTTTGCACATACTAGATACATATGACTGATAATGTGAATTAAATCTGCATTGTCATCCCTGTAGTATCATAACTTTGTACAAAGTTATCTTAATGTACGACTGACTGTCAAGCCAGGAGTTAAATCTGAATTTTCAAACCCCTTTGAACACTTACTGTCATTACTTCGAGGCAGTGTTCTTAGTTTTGGGATTAACTCTTAAAAACTAATAAATGTCTTTTTTCACAAAAATATTTTGTTAAATAATATAACCTAAAAAAATTTTTCTGTTTTGGAATTAATAACCTCTTGCTAAGCGTTGTTTAAATTTTCTTATTTTCTGCAACATTGGTTGGTTAATGTCCTGGCTGCTTCGTCGTTTCCTGTCAATATGGCCAATCACTTCCATTTCGCTTTCATCTAACCCAGGTTGTGAATGAAAGTACCTTGTAATGTGGGACTTTTTAAAGTGAATGTTATCGGTCTTACTCTTTGGGATTTTTCCACGAATCATTGCTGTTGACAAAATAGGACCAAATTAATTATCCATATTAAGATAGCAATGACGATTGATTATGGCTTAGGGATGATGTTTTCCCAGTTTAAACCATCTGTCATTCCCTTTTATATTGTTTCTTTGCTTGCCATTAATGTTTGTGGAAAATCACCAATTCCCAATTGATTGTGATGTCGTGTGAAATAGGAAAATGAATGAAAATGAAACCTGAATGGGTAGATGGTAATGTTGCTTATATTTTGCTGCTGTTGCTGCTGCTGCTGCTGTTTTATGATGATGATGATGAAGGTGCTTGTGCTTCTTATGATGATGATTATGATGGTGATGATGATTGGTTGAGTGACCGATTTCCAAAGGAACTAAATTTAAATAAAATTGCTTTAAATTATTATAATGATGATGATGATGACGATGATGATAATGATGATAAAAATGGGAGGTTCTTATATGATGCATTGCACAATGTGTCAATGTGCTTTCCTTTCATGACTAGTGGAGGACTTTACGGATCTAAGGACTAAATGAATGAAACGAAATCAGAAATCAGTTTTATTTATTTTTTACCCTTACCTCTGGTTGGAGTTTGTAAACACTGAGATGGCTCAACGAATAACTTTGAATTCTTTGGCTGACATCCACCGCAAGACCCTCCACATTCTCCATATACCATCGCACCATCAGGAGACTGGCGGTAGTTCAAAACATTCGGTGAGATTCTGGGAGTACCCCACGGTACCCATGCACTATCTCTGCGCAAGCGCAGTCCTGTCCCTGTCAAATCGATTTGGAATCGTCCCTTGTGGCACGAGGTCGAGGCAGAGTAACAGTCTCCTGCACGACCATAACGGACCGGGTTGCCTTGAATGTCGGCGAACCTGTAATCATCACGTTCAAGTAGCCCGGTTGTTGGATCGACACGAACCTTGTAGAATCTGTCAGAAGCAAAAAAGGGATTAATAGGCCACTTATGTCTATCATGAAACTTAAGAAAAAGAGACTACACGAGTTTCTTTGCTCCTAAAATGTCATGTCACAAAAATCTGACATTTACATCGAAATGGCACCGTGTTTTGTCAAATTCCCCGAATTTCCTTTTCCTTTTCATTTGGATTCCATCGATGATGAGTAACTCTTTGGAAATACCAAGTGCTTGTTGTTGTTGCTGTCATTGCTGTCGTGGTCGTGGTCGTTGTCGTCGTTATTGTTACTGCTATATTTCAAACAAGGATTGTCACTTCTCATGCCGAAGGTTTGAAGATCTTTTTCTTTATCAAAGTGAAAAAATAAAGCAAATCGGCTCTCCTTGCTATATCCAGAAATTCAAACATCTCTTAGACCGTCATTGAGAGTTTTAAGTTGTCAATGATAACATACCTTGACTTGCCCCAATATTTCTCAGTTAGCGCAGGTTGAGGATTGGTTTTTCCAGAGCAGGACTGGTAGTTCAATAGTCTTTCTCTGTGGAAGGCTGCATAGTTCCTGTCAGGACCAGCTTCCAGTGTGATGTATTCCAAAGGTGTTTCCGTTTTCATGCCGTAACAATACAGACGGACAGGTTCACACGAAGGACTTATCTGAATAGCGTATTCATCGTCATTGTATCCCGACCATGCCTTTTTGATGTCAGCACAACTCCCTGTAACAAAAAATACATGTTCACTAAGGTGTTATTTTTGAAGAAAAGAAGATTTGATTGTCCCTTTTGTTACGATGGGATGCGATAGCCCTTGAGTCATAAAGTGATGATAAGTTCAATAATTCCATAAACACTTGAGGCCGGTTATCTTAGTGAACCCAGGAAAAGTTTGTGCAAACAATTTAAGCTTTTACAGCAACTCTTGTCTTAATGGACCCTTCTTAAAATTATCTTGGATACAAATGTCAGCATGAAAATACGAAAGAATCTAACATTTTCTTGATGAAATTTGTGGTATTTAAGTTGAATTTCCATGTTAACCTTACAGTCAAGATAATTCTGATCTTCAACTTGACAGAAACGTTCTTCAATCTGGAAGCTTATACCAATTTCATTGACAATGGTGATACATCGATGAATGATTACTTACTTGGCATCTGGTACTGCAAGCTCCTCGGAGGGATGACAGCTCGTTGAATTACAGACGATGGCGCATTCGGGCATTCCAGATTGTATCCTACTTTTAGAGCGTCACGGGACTTGCCCTGCTTGTGGAGTGCTTCCAACCAGTAGTGTTTGCCAGCCTCGAGGGGAAAGCTTACTGACTTCTGTGTTGCCGGACTATGGAAAAAAGAAAAACTCGTATTTCAATGCGGTTGCTCAAACCTAAACCAACTTCAAGAGGTAGGTCGTAGCTATTGTAGCTTGCAGTGATGGCTTGGATTGTCTTGTTATAAATGAAATTTCACGGTTTTGGTAATGTTTACAGTCAAAGGAACGGCTGAAGTCGATAGAAGAAAAAAGACCTTCGAACCTATGCCTTTTTGTTAATGAAAGGCCTTCAATATAATCGTATAGTTGCTAGGCTCGGACTAATAAGAACTTTATAAGTGTACATACCTCTGTGATTGATAATCCTGGGTCTTCACGGCAGCAATCAAGTCCTTGTCTTTTGGAGAAGCATTCTCACTAAAGAATAACTCCGCTTCATCATCACCAGTTAGAGTGAATGAGTACAAGCCCGAGTATGGAGCCACGAAGTAGCCACTGATTCGGCTGCCATAATCACTGCCGTCATTCTCTGGAGCACTAAAGCTTGGAATGATACTGACTTCTGTAGGGTTGTTAGGATAACCTTTAGACAACGCGAGATCGCTGATTGTATGACCGGGGACGTTGCGCCATACCATGCGTTTTACTCCTTGGAATGGAGTTTTAGGGTTTGCTGTCGAAGAAAAGGAATTAAATAAGAACATGCAAGGAAATAAAGAAACCAGGGAGAAGCAGGCACTAGATGTAAGGAAAGATGAAAGCAGGCAGACAAGTTAGCGAGATGAAAGATGAAAGCAAGCAGGCAAGTAAGCAAGAAGGTCAGTAAGCAAGTGGATAGCAAGTGAAAGATGAAGGCAAGCAGACAAGTAAGCAAGGAGCAAAAAAAGTCAGCAAGAAAACAAAGAACAACTAAGAGAAAAGAAAAGAAAAGAAAAGAAAAGGGAAAAAAAAAAGATAGAACTGAAATCAGTAGACTTAGATCATTGTGTTGAAATTTTATCGAACAATTTTTTGCTGTATTTGTGGACATTTTCAGGGTGCCTCGGTGATTTATATTTGGGTTATTGCCCGTTAACCATCATATAGGGGGTTATTGTTATTTTACTTATTCACTTACGAATCTTGTGAGTCTCCATCAGAGTCTTGATTTCACTTGTACCCAGGTTACAGGGGAAAATATAGAACTCATCTAATGCTCCCTTGAATTTGCGGAGCGTTTGGTTCGATCCATAATGTGAGCCAATATGGGCCACATCACTCCAGTCTGTACTCAGAGCATCTGTTTCTTGTGGGTCTGTTTGTTCATATTCAGTGATTCGTTCACCGTTGACATATATGGTAGCTTCTCTTGAGCCAGGGTTGTATGTGCCTGCAATGTGAACCCAGCGGTTGGGAAGGATCACTCGTTTGGTGGTTCTTCCGTAGACAGTTTTGTCGTAGTTTCTTTGGAAGAAACGAATCTAGAATAGAATAGAAGAATAGACACCTGTGAGAAAAATAACTTCAAATTTTATCGATACCTTGAAACAACCTCTGGGCTGATCAAACTCAGGGCATGACTAATAACTCACAGATTGAATTGAAATTTAGCTTACTTGTAAGATTTTGCGGATAAAGGAAACTGACCGGAGAACCCGGGGAAAAACCCCGCTGGCCATCCAGTCACACAACCACACATATAAAGTTTACTTTATAATATGACGTTCTTTAAGCATTGCCGGCTTACAATGGCCCTTATTTAGCCAAAGTAGCACCTTTCGAAGACGTGTTTGATTGTTGTAACTGCTTCCCCGGGGCGAATTTGTAAATAAATGACCACATTTGTCAAATCTTGACAAATATAGCCTGCGTTGCATCTCGATTTCCCCCAAAAAAATTTGGATGCAACGCAGGCTAAGCAAATGGGAATTTTAAATTTTGAAAGATCGTTCTTACCTTTCCCTTGTCTAAAATCTCGAAGTGATACTGTCCTTTCTTTTGGTCGTTCTGGATTCCTGGGGATTCTGTCACGAAGATCTCGTGGACATTTGGCGTACTCATGTCTTTAATATGGACCCACGCTGCAATCGTAACTGCTTTGGTTGGCTTGCCCTTAAACCCTCTTCCATCGAGTTGAATGAAACCTTAAAAAGTATAAGATCAGCATACTTAGCACAAGTAATAAATACGGCTGAATATTGCGGCAGGCAAATTTAACTTCGACAAAGAACTGGGGTCCAAAACGTCAGTACAGTTTTTTTACACGGTGTTAAAATTTCCTTCTTATTGACTTGTTGTATTCAACACACCAACTCAGTCCAAACCAGTTACCGCTAGTCATTAAGAAATCCTTATAGGTCTCTTTGGGTATAAATTCAATGACTAGAGCGTGATTGTGCTTTGCAACTAACCCATTATTACATATAACGTTACTAGACTTGTGCTAACCTTCTGAGAGATCGAGACCATTGTCATCTAGTAATCCTCCCTCAGTAAGGATTCTGCCCTGGACTTTGCCATTGTTACCCATTCCAGATTCATCGTACACAGTTCCTGAGCACATCTTGTCGAAGTCGTAGTATAATACTGGACGACATCTGTATGGGTAGTCTGTTTGAGGAAGTCATGAGGTTAGGAAAGATTACATCACAAAGAAAGTCTGCCTTATCATCTTGTCGTTGCTCGTTTTGGTCATCATCATCATTATCATCATCATCATTATTATTATTATCACCACCGGCACAGCCACAATCATCATGCACCGCTATCACAATCATCATCATTATCACTATTTGCCTCATTATCATCATCATCAATACCATCATCATCAGTATCATCATTATCGTCAGCATCATAATATTTATAGTTATCATCATTACCACCATCGCCATATCATCATCATCACCATTACCATCATCATCGCCATCATCATTATCGACCGTATCATCTTCATCATCATCTTCCTCGTCATTAAAATCCTTCATATTTTCCAAAACTTTCATTCTTTCTTATTACCGATATCATCATTTTTATTGGTCATTACAAAAAAACTTCTCAACCTACCTCTCATCTCAACTGGAGGTGATGCTGGGGATGCTGCTGGGCTTGCAGCAGCTGCTGGAGCGGGAGCGTTCATCTGGACTGGTGCTGGTTGAGGAGGCGATTGAAGTGGGTTATCATTTTGCAGTAAACTCTGAGCTTGTGGATTATTAAAGTCATGTAGGGCACCAACTGTTAAAGGGAAAAAAAATGAGCTGAATGAGCTGACATTTTTGTTTGATAGAAACGGAGATGAGGACAGTTAAAGTAACAAACAGCTAGACGGACAGACTAACAGAGAGACTGATACACCAACAGACTCACAGATGGATGGAAAGACAGACAGACAAAAAGACAAAGCAAAAGGTGAAGATAGTTTTCGTTTACTCACTATGGCACATCACTTTAGCGACCTTTGCGGCTTCTGCTGCCTGCAAAGAATTTACCCTCAAAGCGTAATTTGGTCTCGTCGCCATGTTTTTAAGATCATCTTCTGGCACGTCACCTACTCCTACAGCAATAACTTGAACACCGCTGTACTGAAGCTGCTTAGAGAATGCTTGCAGGCTCTTGGCGGAGTTAGTATTATGGTCTTTCTGTGTTCCCATGACGCCGACGAGAAGAATCTTGGGTACATGTTGTCTCATGCCACCAGAGGCGGTGAACATCTCAAACTTGGCCATCTCCAGGAGAATGACAAGATTTCGATTGCCTTTGTCTCTTGGAAGTGACTGAGAAACAAACCAAGCATGGTTACTTGTAGGCAATCAGTTTAGTAAGTTATAAATTTTATCTTATACTGGGAGTTTTTCTTTTTCGATTAATTGCTTGATACCAATCAAAATCTTATTACCAGCCTACAATGACAGGCAAATTCTGCCTGTCCCGTGCTATCAGCCAGAGAGTATTCTATTGCTTGTTATCAATCAGCCGAATGAATCTCATTACTAGCCTACAATGACAGGCAAACGATGGCCGTGATGTGCTATCAAACAGGTATTTCGTTACTGAATGAATCTTGTGAATTTGATTGTCATCCTTCAGTGATAGACAAATGACGTCTTCTCTCTTTCTTATTCACCCAGTGTGCATTTCTATTGCTATTCAGTTGGTAAAATTCCACACGAGACCGGAAATTACGTCTTTTGGCATACACCCATTTCCTCACTGGAAATTTTAATGTAACATGCATCCCTAGTGTAAAATTACCTGGATCGACTTGATGACTTCATCATGTTGGTTATTCTCATCTAGCTTAGATTGTATAGAAGGAATCGTGGAGTATGCAACAACTCCCACATGGGTTGCTGTGTCAGACATAGTAAAGCTTTCCATGACGTTGCGAGCAAAGCTCTTCTGATGTGCCCATTGCAAAGGACTGACATCAGAGGAAGAATCCAGAGCAATAACGACGTCCATATTGTGAGGACACACTGGGAAAAGATGCAAAAAGAAATATATAAGTGTTGTTACTATTACTTGCAGATTTATTACATAAGGACCACTTTTATTGAACAATATTTTTTCTACTTAAAAATCAAAATCAAAGCACCTTTTTCTAGGTCTATAGATAAGGTGAACAAGGAGACATTATTCCCAGTGGTGTAATGTTTTCCCATTACAGACCACATGTCACTCTCTTGAGAATAAGATTCTTTGTTTGAGTTGTATCTATATTCAAGTGTCTTCGCATGCGCAATTGTCAAACAAAGAAATAATACTCTAGGGAATGACACGTGATCTGAAATTGTACCACGGGGAGTAAGATCTATACACTTTACAAAAAAAGGAGTGACACTATTCTGAACAAGTCTTTAAGCAATTAAGGGTGTTTTTGAACAGTTGGTCGGTGTTTCTTGTCTTGGTTTGACTTATTACTTAAAATGGTTATCGCTTCTGCGTTATCTTATTAAGAAAATGAAATTCGGAATTTATATTCAAATCAAATCAACGATCCTGACTCACTATAATGTCCATTTTGCATAGTAGGTTGGGTTTCCTGTGGCATATTTGCGAATTTCTGGGTAGCAGCCTGGGTTATGTAAGGTGCTTGAGTTGGTTTTGGTGTCTCTGTTGTTCTCCAGTAAAATGGGGTTTGCTGAGCCTGGGTTTGTTGACTTTGGGTTGCCTGTGTCTGCTGAGCAAGAGTTTTCTGTTTTTGTTGTGGTTGGGTTGCCTGTGTTTGCTGGGCTAAGGTTGTTTGTTGCTGCTGGGTAGCCTGTGATTTCATTGTTGCTTGCTTAGCTGCTGTGGTCTGTGTCGAATATCCCTTTGCAGCAGTTGCAAGATTTGGAACGGTCGTGGGGTTCTGAGAACCTGTGTTTGACGTCCATTGTGACGTAGCATAGCTTGGAGGTTTTTGAATAGTAGCGACTACTGGTGGATAGGTGAGAGGCTTAATACTAGCGCTAAATGGCGTCTGCGCCTGTGTTGTTGTTGATGGATTAGCAGTGGAGCTGTATCTGTTTTTCCAAAGTTGTGCTGCTTGATTTTGTGCCTGAGTGACTTGCGTCTGTTCTTCAGAAGACAATATAGGCTCTGGTTCTGAGAAAAATACGAAATATGCATTTTATTAAACTGATCTGAATATGCCGTTTCGTTCTTCCATCCATGATCTATGGCCAATGGCATATTGTCCATATCCATTAGCTTCAGCATTATTTTTTTTAAAAAGATTTGTTTTTGAATATATTTTCTGTTAACCTTTATATTATAGTACTCACCATGACAAGCAACCACGACTGTCTTTGCAATGATTGCCACAAGATCTTTAAACGAACCAATATGGTAAGTTTGATTGCTGTTCGTGATACTGTCGGCTTGTCGTCGGTCGGCCTCGTCTTGTCCGATAGTGATGACCACACTTCGTACTTTGTTATTTCGAAGAAGCTGCGCTATGTTTTTCAGTTTCTGATTTCCAAGTTCGCCATAAGACAACACTACCAAGGATTTTGCAGCCTTAAATGAACAGAATTTATTTATTAAGATATTTAATGTACAATAAAAAGGCCATGTAGGTGGGATAGGTACGTTGGTTTGTAGGTAGGCAGGAAGAAAGGCAGGTAGGTAATTTGTAGTTGAGTAAGTGCATTAGTGGGCAATGAGTTGATGAAGTAAATAGGTCATGTAGGTGGGATAGGTACGTTGGTTGGTAGGTAGGCAGGAAGAAAGGCAGGCAAGTAATTTGTATTTGAGTAAGTGCATTAGTGGAAAATGAGTTGATGAAGTCGGCGGGCAGGTAGATGGATAGATAAGTTAGTTGGGCTGTTGAGTGAGGGTGTGTAAGAAAGATGGGTAGGTATGGTGATAACGGGATAATCTATAGGAAAGGTATATCTTTGGTTTTCCTCTCTCCGTAAAAATCAACATGTGAGTTGAGAGTTGTATGCATAGAATATTTAGTGTAGTGGTGTGTGTGTGTGAGTGACGGTAGGTCAAATTGGAAACCAGTATATATACCGAATTTGTATCCCACCATAAAAGTTAAATAATAAAAAGTGATGGACACATTGCACTATCCTAATCTGGGGTTCAAAACAAAGGAATTCAAATTTTCTTCTCTTTAGTTAGGATTAAAATATTTTATGGCTTTCCATTGTTTTGATCGCCAGATAGGGATCCAGTCCAAGGGTTTTACATATCGTGGCATGTTTGGATTGTTCCATTAATGCATTCATTTACCGTTGGTCTTGATCCAGATGCTTGTGTGAAAAGCTCATAATTAGCCACTTGCAGTGCATCATCAAGTCTCGTAGTCTCCTCACTACTGGCTTCAGGGAAGACATTTTCAACCATAGTAAAAAGATCCTTCTGATAGTAATAGCGATTGAACTTCAACTCCAGGGTTGCCATGGATGAATATGACAAGAGACCAAGATGTGTTCCAGCATACGAGATGTTGAAAGCACTGGCTGTTCCCTTGACGAAGTTCTGGACGTCACGCCATTCTGTATCCTTGATTTTGCTTGATATGGGGACTGCGAATGCTAAGTCTGTTGGTGACTCACATACTGAAAAACACAAGAAGTTAAGTGTTAGGAATTATGACATTAGGCAATGGTGGCGGCTTCAGTACTCTTTTAGAGAGGGTCGGAGATAATGAATCAATATAACGTAACCTCCTCATAGTATGATAGGAATGATATGTACAAAAAAGGTATGAATAGTATTTTCTGAGCTTGTGATCTTAAGCTTTTCCAGACAGGAATTTCTTAATAGATTTTTTTCTTTTGGGGAGCATTTTAGTTACGTGCATGCTTAGAACATTCCGATTATCAAGCTAGCTTTAGTGGTTAAGTTTTCATATCACAATCTATAATTATATACCTCATCTTTGGCTGGATTTTTGGCTTTTGTTTTTAACTGCGTGTATGAATTAGGAGCTAAGCTTACCACTTTCATGATAGCTTAGGAACTTAGATAATTTTCATGGATTAAGTTATGTAAATAAATAAATTACCTGGACAGTCTTGGACCTTGCATCGTCGTTTTTCAGTGTAAGGTCCACGGCAGTTGGCTCCAGTGAGACATTTGCGCGTCCTTACTGATAATCCATTACCACATGTCTTCATGCATGGACTCCAGTCTGACCATCTTCCCCATCGTGCTGAAGAAAGCGCAAAACATAATCACCAATTATTGATTTCCGAGATTACCATTTGCTGTTACTTGCGGACGTTAATCATCTTTTTTTTGCTAATCTATGATAATTATTTGTGCTTTACTATTGGGGAAGGAGATTTGTTGTTGTTGTTGGTTGTTGGTTGTGTTGGTGTTTTGTTGTGCTAATGTTATGTTGTTGTGTCGTTGTTGTCATTGTCTTCGTTGTTTTTTGTTGTTGTTGGTGTTGTTGGTGTTGTATTCAAAAACCTAACTTGTTTATATCTGATCGGTAAGTTACAGTTGTCTCGTAGCTCCATCATCGCCTTAGGCTCAAAACAGCTACAGTTATGCGAACTTATCGTACAAAGGATCGATCCCTGCGCCCACCATCTCATCTGTAGTGCACGAAACGCAAGGTCGATGGATTGACCCGGTTTTCATCTAGATTGGGGCAATTACCCATTTAATGGCATAGACTTACGTGGTGGCGGAGGTGGTTTTGCGTTACACACAGCATCGGCAGTTAACTTAACATACTGCATCAAGTCTTCATATCCACTGACAAGATACGCATGTTCAGGATCAGATACGATTTGCCTAATCTCCTGACGATCAACTTTTTCTCCGACGCCCAAGACCACGACAGTCGCACCGTCTAGATCTTTAAGCTCATGCGCTCGTCGCTGTATTGCCATTTTACTCTTCGCTCTTGTGCCACCATCGGTTATCATAACCACTGCTTTAGGAACTGTTAGTCTTGATCCACTGTCGTCCGATAAGATGTGTTCACGAGCGAGTTTCAGGGCGCGGTCAGTTCGGGTCTCGCCGCGTGGTTGAGTGACGCTGTCAAGATAAGCGTCCATGATGTCTTTCTCGTTCATTTCTTGGAAGGTTTTTTCCAAATGTGGAAGCGTCGAGAAAGTGATAATCTGATAATATGAAACAACAAAATATAAGCCTCATCTTCTCTCGGTACGAAACATTTGTCGTTCGGGTAGGTAAGATGGTAAACGAAAAAAATGTGACAGATTGATCACAATATCTGCTAGTCCAAGGACAGTAAGGCAATGCGACTACTCAGATTGTCAAAATGTCGAACAAGGCAGTGTAGTATAACAACCACACGACTACTCTAAGATTTTCAGTCATGATGATTCTGCGCTACCAAGAGTATGTTTGGCAATATTTACAAGAAAAAATAATTGATGCCCCATCCAAGACGATTTTGCTACTTACAGCTGTGCGAGTTCCATTATCTGCGACGTGGAAAGCAGACGAGACGCCTCTAACGAAATCTTTGGTTAGCTTCCATTGCGAGTCGTCTATTGTTCCAGACGCATCCAATAAGAAAGCCAGGTCAATAGTATTCGGGCAGTCTGTAAATATAAAGAGGTACTGTTGATACATGCATTTATACTCTAGTCTAATTTATCATACATGATGATGGTAACTTTATTTAAACTCTGTGTTATGGGACTGTTTAGGTCCCTAGCAAATAAAAATGCTGATATATCGAGACTATACAAAGAAGGAAAAAATGACTTGAAAAAAATGAAAAATATTTCGACGAAGGACTAGCGTCCTAAACGTCAGTAAGTTTTTTCATCTTTTCACGGTGTTAAATTTACCCTTTTATCATTACTATTTCAATAGAAACACCGACGCAGCTCACACTAGTTTTTAGCTAGTTATCTCTTCTTAAAATTATATATATTTATATTCCATCTCGAATATACCTTAAATATCGTTATGAAACTAAATATAAAGACCTTTGTAAAATTTCTTTGTGTCACGAATATCATTTATGGCATTTCCTTAATTACTATTTCTTTTCCAGAAACTCTTTATGAGAAGCATAAATATGGAGCAAACTCAAGGAATCAGTTTTCAAAGGTAAGGTACATTGGGTTATATAAAAGTTTTACTTACGAGGACAGTGTTGTACATCACACCTCTCCACTTGTCTTGCAGATCCAGCACAGCTTGACCCACCCTGACATGTTCGTGAACGTTCACGTGTTCCTCCTGCGCCACAAGTTGCACTACAGGTGGTCCAGGGGGACCAGTCGCTAAAGTAACCTAAAAAAGCGCGCAAAACCGGATCTTTGAGTGAGACATAGACGTAACAGTAGAATATGGGATGATTGAAAGAGGCTCTACTCTTCAAAGTATCTTAGAAAGATTTCCAAAACAATATATCTGAATGAGGATATAGACATCAATGCAATATGGGATGAATAGAAGATTGTCCACTATCTAAAGTAACTTAGAGAGATTCCCAAATCATATCTCTGAATGAGGATATAGACAACAGTAGAATATGGGATGGATGAGATGGGATCCATTCGCTACAGTTGTCAAGAAAGTTTTACAAGCCCAAATATTTGAGTGAGTACAGAGGCATAAAGGTAGAGAAGTCACATCAGTAATTATACAACTGTCAAGTTAACTTAAGCACTTCTTAAATATTCGTTTTTTGCGTGCAATGATAGCCAATCGACCTTACACTTATGTTAAATTTTCAGTTTTCAAAATGTATAATAAAACACCTATTGTTTTTGTTTTTTTTTCATATAGACCCCTTGCATGTGACGTCAAAGGAGCTCAATTTGGAGGACAAAACAAAACAATTTCAATCTCATGAGAATTGGAAACCTATTGACATTTCCTCCAAATTGATCTGCATTCCAACGTGCTGCAAGGAATCTATTCAAATGCTAAAACGTCGTCATGCTTGAAGTCTATTTAAGATCTCTAGTTCATCCACATCCAACAATTGTTTAGTTTATATCAAGAACGTATTTAGAACTGACCTGGGCAATTGTCTTCTTCACAGTTCTGGAATTCCTTGTCGGCTCCTTGGCAGAAATTACCTCCATAGGCAGGCTTTGGTGAATCGCATCTTCTTGATCGAATCTGTCTTCCATTACCGCAGGTGACAGAACACGCACTCCATGCGCTCCAGTCAGAAAACTTGCCGTCCACTACGAAAAGGGTAAGATCTTATATTAGTTGTTGTAAAATAAATGTCAGAAACCTCGCTTTCTGATTGGCTGTATGAGAGAACACAGCACTCGACCACTCTTTTTATCATGTCATTCGTATCCAAAACAACGGCCATTCCATTCTTGGGGTGCATGCTACATCATATCTGCCGTGTTGTTTGACGATAACAAAGCATAACAAATTTACCTGGGCACGGTGACATCCTGCATTCAGCTGTCTCATGTGCATAGCCAGGGCAAGGTTTGCCGCCGTTTTGAGGTGATGGGTTGTTACACGTGCGGTGTCTTCTTACGACGCCACGCCCGCACGATACTGTACATGTACTCCATTTGCCCCAGTTGCTCCAACTAGCATCCACTAAAATTTTTATCACACATTCAAGCATTAGTGATTGTTTTTAACCAAGATAAAGAAAACACAGCGCAATTTTGAATTGCAAACTATTTTATCCAAAAAGGAAATAATTCTTGAGCACTTTTCAATAAAACTTTGCCAAGACATAGTTTAGTGCCTAGAAAGCTAATGCGCACTCTGCTACATCCTTGGAAAGGGCCAACACATACAAACTAGCGATACCACTTGCTATAGACCCCTTGCATGTGACTTCTAAGCAGCATGATCTGGGGGACAAAACAAAAGAATTCCAATTTCCTGAGAATTGGAACCTATTGTTTTGTGCCTCAGATTGAGCTGCATTTCAAAGTGCTGCAAGGTGTCTATATACCACTTGCTTGACCAGCGTCGTGTTCACGTGGAAAATCCGTTCACATGTATGAGAGGTTTGTCAGTCCAGAACGTTTTCAAATGCAAATGCAAATGCAAATGCAAATGCAAATGCAAATGCAAATGCAAATGCAAATTAGTCGCCATATTTCAATTCGGTGTATGGGAGTACTAAGTTTAAAAAAAACATAACAAGTAAATTTAGAGCTTACCAGGGCAGTCTCTAATCTTGCAGTTCTCTTGCTCGCGGTCATTACCCTCAAAACGACAGTCAAGTCCTCCCCAAGCGGGAGGAGGGTTGGTGCAGTTTCTTGTGCGGAAGCGTTCTCCTTCTCCACACGGCTTTGAGCATTTACTCCATGCACTCCATTCAGTGTAGTTGCCTTGCATAGGTTGAACTATGATATGAAGAATATGATTGGCTTTAATAATAATAATAATAACAACAACAACAACAACAAYARTAATAATAATAATAATAATAATAATAATAATATACATTTATAATGCGCTTATTTTAAAAAAATGCTCTAAGCGCAACAAAAGGCCAATGAGTTAAGGTAATAGTCATGTTTGAAGAGATTAAGTTCTTGGAAATTGTTTTCATAGTAGTTTCTTAAGGTAAAATTAGCTCTAAGAGTGAAATTCCTACCTCTATCAATAGTGAAGACATAATTTGTTCTTTCCTGTCCACTGCATTCCAAGTTATTGATATGGCATGGTTTCTTCTCACTGTCTATGCATCCCAGCCATGGCTTGGGTTGGTTTTGATCGCTAAAAACCAGCTGTTCCCCTTCCTGATAGTAAGTCTCCGCCGCTCTTTCTCCGGAATAACAATCTCCGTAGTTTTGGATACCAAAGGTTGTCATTCCGCTGTTACGTGTCATGCGGGCGCACCTAGAAACAGTAACGAGCATTTGATATTTCTGCTTCTTAAATAGACCTCTTCGGCTCTGACGTAATGTTTTCCCATTTCATACCACATGTCATTCCCTAGAGTATCATTTCTTTGTTTAAAGCTTGCGCTCGGTTGCACATGAGAAGACACATGAATGTGGATACAGCTCAAACAAAGAATCTTATTCTCAAAAGAATGACACGTGGTCTGAAATGGGTAAACATTACCTATAGCCGAAGAGGTCTATTGACTATGAACTTGTAAACAAATTGTATTGTTTTGACTCCCCCACCCCCTCCCCCCAAATATGTCAGGTCTCGAAACGTTTTACAGTTACTATAGAAACAGTTGCCATGGCTAAATTACCTGCAAATGACATCAGAAAGATATGTGTCCCAGTTTTCAAGGTCCACTCTATTGTCTTTAACATCACTGAACAGCAGGTTTGGTAATGGGCGGTAGATGTTGTGATCATCTCGGAAACATCCAAGATCCCGATACGAAACCTCGCCTATAAGAAAAAGTTACTTGATTAGATTGCATGTTAGATAATGAATCTAGTGGCTCTAGATTTGCAGTGTGATTGATCATCTTTTAGAGTAGTACTGTGGCTTGTAGAAAACTTATAGTGATTCTCGACGAAGTAGATTTTGGAGACGTCAATCAAAGCGTTTTTAATGAGATTGTGCAATTTTGCTCGTGATATTGACAACGACTGTAACATTTATTTTCGTATAAGAGTGCCTCCGGGTGCCTTGGTTATTCGACACAACATTTAAAAAAAGTTTCTTTTACGATTGTCAAATCAACTACATTTGGATTCACCATCTCTCTTCCATCTCTCTCTCTCTCTTCACCCTTCTTGACCGGACAAATATATATCTCTGATTTTCTCTTTCATAGAAAAGTTGCATGAAAGGGATCACTTGACAGTTGCCATACTTACAGCAGTCCCTAATCTTGCAAGCTTTGATCTCTTCTCCCTCTCCTACACACGGTTCTCCTCCATATGAAGGCCGAGGTGCTGTACAAGTCCTGATTCTCTTAACGACTCCGCTACCGCATGAACGAGAGCACGGTGACCAGACAGACCAGCCTGACCATTCGCCATTTTCTGGGAGGAAAAGAACACAGGTATTTAAAAAGTAGAATAAGCCTTAAACTACCATCATTTTGGTTAACTAGAAAACGAAAGGTAGCTGAAGGTCAATGTCGCTGGATTTACTTTTTTTTGTTGTATATTCTACGTTTTTACGCTATATCATCTGGTGGACTTTAACAAAACGATTTCTCATAAAGTCCTTTTGTAATTGTCCACCAGAATGGCTGCTATGTCTTTGTCTTTTGATCCTCTTGGGAAAGGAAAAACCATCAATTGGGGGAAGTGATTTTAAAGTGGAGGTTGGGATGTCAACTTGACGCGCTCATTGCCGTCACACTTTTAGAAGATATAAGATATATCGTTTATTTTCCCACTTCCACGAAAAGCAATTATTAGCAATTAATTCCAAATTGCGATTTGTTCCTCCGTTAGCACTAAACATCACATCCGATACTGATATTTGAATGTGACATAGTGATCATTACACTTGGAAAAGATAAAACAGGAATAACCCATTAAACTTACGAGCACAAGGCCTTGTATTACACGAGTCCTCTTGAACATCAGGCCCTTCACTGTCGCAGTTTCTTCCACCAAACTGAGGCAAAGGATTCGTACAGGCACGTGATCTCAAACGACGACCGCCACCGCAGGTGACGTCACATTGAGTCCATTCACCCCACTCTGTGTATCCTCCATTGACTGTGAGCGAAATTATATACTCTGGTTAGAAACTCATGGTTGAAGAAAACCATACATAACGAGAAGTGGCTTTATTATTGCCCTTGTCCACCTCTTTTTGCTCCTGTGTTTTTATTATTTTGTAGACCCCTTTCAGTACGTCGAAATGCAGCTTATCTTGGAGGACAACAATAGGTTTCCAATTTTCAGAAGATTGAATTTCTTTTGTTTTGTCCTCCAATTTGAGCTGATTTGAATTCACACGCAAGGGGTCAATCTCATGATTAGCCTAAAGGCAGGTGGAAATGTAAAAGGATACTAGGTTCTTACAAGGTATTATAACCCATCTGTCAGGCAGAAGCCGAAATCTTGCATGAAAAATGCACTCTATACTCACCCATGCATGGGACATTATCGCAGTATGCTTCTTCTTTCTCGGGTCCTTCGCACGATCGTCCGCCATGTGCTGCAGGAGGATTGTCACATTCTCGTGTTCTCGACTTCTTGGACGCTCCACAAGTGGTTGAGCATTGAGTCCAGTTTTTCCAGGCACCCCAGTTACCATCAACTGCGTAAGAAAAGTAAAATACTCCAGTTAAACCAATAGACCTCAACGTTTTGCGTAATTGTCTGCGTAATTGCATGTCTGCGTAATGTTTTCCCATTTCAGACCATGTCTCATTCTCTTGAGGATGAGTTTCTCTGTTTTAGTTGATTCCGTATTCATGTGATTTCTTATTGCAACCGTTAAAGAAATACAACTCTAGGGAACGACACGTTTTCTGAAACGGGCAAACATTACGCTCAAGGTATTTTTATAGAAGGACAGAAAGGCATTGAAATACTATGGTGAAAGTCAAATAGGCAGACGCACCTGGACAGTCGGAGAGACTACAAGGCATGAGCTCCCTGGCAGTACCTGGACACCCTTTACCTCCATATTTGGGTGCCGGGTTGTTGCATAAGCGCATGCGCTCTCGTTTTCCAGCTCCACATGTGGCTGAGCAGAAGCTCCACATCTGCCATGCTCCCCAGTTACCATGAACTGAAGATAAAACACAAAACATTTAAAAAGGCAAATATAGATTTCCTTATTGATGGATAGGAAATGCTCTGAAATCTTATACAGGGAACGTAGTATTGCACTAGGATGAAGATAGAGAAACTATTTTAACGTCGATATTCCATACAACTGAGAAGAAGGAACACCAGCTATTTCTAATTCTCCAGGTACTAATCCTGGTATTCGCCCTTTAATCTCATATTCTTTCTCTTGTTTTTCTCTGTTTCTTCTTGGTGGTATTAAGAGTTTCACCATTGAACCGCGATAGTTTGAAACAAGTGTCTGAGACCTCTGAGAATCACATATTCCTGGCTTGGCAATTAACCTTTTTAGCTGTTGCTTAAGCAGTTTTTTGTCTTGGAACTTTCGAGGCACTTACGTTCTTTTTACAAATTTACATTTTGTCCAGCATAAACTATTCTATGCTGTATGAATATCAAAGAAACTTACTTGGACAAGGTTGAGGATTGCAGTGAACGACTTCGCGGGCATCACCATAGTAGACGCAGTCGCTGCCTCCGTATTTGGGGGATGGATTAATGCACTGTCTTGTTCTGATGTGGATTCCTCCACCGCATGTGCGACTGCAGTCACTCCATTCTGACCAATCAGTGTAGTTTCCATTCACAGCTATTAGAAAGGACGAAAGCTGTTAACTAAGACTGACCCTTAAGGATAAGTAATGCGGAACGGGTCTATAGAATTACAAAAAAACAATCAGAATATAACTGTTTTACTCACGACATCGTCTGACTTTGCATGATTTCTGTTCTACGCTGTCGCCTTCACAGGAGAATCCCCCATTGCTTGGTTTGGGATGATTACAAATACGAGATCTGATCTGTATTCCATCGCCACAGGTTGCTGAGCATGCTTGCCACGCACCCCAAGCTGACCACGAACCATTGACTGCAGGCGCAAAGCGTAAAAACAAGATTCAGAAATTATTTAACGCATTCAGAAAGAAAATATATTGTTTGGCTTACGGTGGTACGGTTTTTGAATGTATTCTTGCCAATATATGTGGATTGTTTGTTTGTCATTTCCTTTTCTATGAGAGTTTTTCTCTGGTTAAAGAATAAAATTTGACCTTCGGTCTTCATCTAGATTGAAACCATGCTCTGTTTTGATTGCAGCGTGTTTTGATGTAATGATTGTTTGACCGTTTATTTCGGGATGGTTTATATATCACTGCAGTAGTAAGTGTTTTTTTTTACATTCCTACCTGGACAGTCTCCAAGGTTACATGATAGTTTTTGTCTAGTAGGACCAATGCACGGTTGACCGTCTCTACTCGGTGAAGGTGCAGAGCAGGATCTCTCTCGAACCCTGGTACCCTTGCCGCACGACGAGGAACAGTTTGACCAGGCTCCCCAATCACTGAAACCTCCATCAACTGGGGAAAAACGTCATAAATATCGTGCTTAAAGTTAGCGTCGTGGGTTCTCTCCTGTGCTTCGAGAGTTTCTTTAACTCCTAAATTCTAATTCGATCTATCGTTAGCATTATCAAGTGGGTTGCAAAACCTGTTAACTTTCTGTCCTCCATGGATTAGTAAATCCGATTAGACTCAGAACAGTTTTAGATTTCTAATCGTGTTATCAAGTTTAATGGTAACCACTCATTTGCTTGCATGTTACGTCATCGTATATATCTGTTGGCAGTACTTTTGCATCAGGTAATTTTTTAGTACCTCCAATATTGCTGCTAAGTGATTGGCTATTGAAAACTTAGCTTCTCCATTAGAATTGCGTTCCCACCATCTTTGGATTTTGTCCAAATTCAAAAAAACTCGGTATCCTTGGAATTTTATCTCCAAACTAAAGAATAGACCCCTTGCACTGAGTCTCGAGAGGAATTATTCTGGGCARCAAACAATGGTTTTTTCTTGCATATAAAAAGACGGCCTGATGTTTTGTCCCCCAGAACAATTGCTTTAGGAAATCAATAGAAGGGGTCTATATAGCGTTAGATGGTGTTTACAAGTATCAGCAATTTGATGTTAATTTGCCAACCATCATCACAACAGTTTTTGCCAAGCTGCTTTGTTTTATCAGCGAATCGATTTCTGGTTGTCATAGTAATGACAATAGCTTACGTCACAGTGCCATAGCATGCACTTTCTTTACGATAATTTACCTGGGCAATTAACGCTGGTATCACACAAAGCCGTATCAACTTCGTCACCAAGCACGTTGCAATCCCTGCCTCCATATTGAGGTTTAGGATTGGTGCAGTTCCTCACACGTGACTTAAAACCTGTTCCACATCTTGTAGAACAACTTGACCAAGGTGACCAGTCACTGTATCCTCCGTCAACTGGAGTAACTAAAAAATAATAATAATAATAACCAAAGTTATCTTTTTGAACTCAAATGACGTTGAACACGAGGCGAAATGGAGTCTTATTTCTGGTAAATACTTGAAGTGGAAGATTATTAAAAATGATACTTGAAGACTCGTAGACTCCTACGCCGGCAGACGTTCTTAAAGACATTAAGAACGTCCGCATAGGAGTGTAGAAGACTCGCCGCTCGGTAAATATTCACCATAATCACTGAGTCTGAGGTGAATAATTGTTTTAGTATAATTATAGACTTGAATGCCAGAGAAAAAAAGTAATTCAGGATAAACAAAACGTTTTAGTATTAATTCTGATTTGACAAACTTTGGAAAAACCTTATAATCACCGCTCGAGCAGTGAATATCGTCTCATAATCACTGGTCGCTCGACCAATCACAGCGCGCGAAACTCTATATTTAAGCCTAAGATAATACTAAAAAGCTATACTAAAACTGAGCTGGCCTTCCCCTCTTTATATACGTGTAGTATTACTTACTATTGTAGAAGGTGTAGACAAAGTTTGAGTTTTGTTGTCCTGAACAGTACTTTGATGTATCTCCACACTGCTCGTAGTTGGTCGTAACACAGCCTAACCATGGCTTTGGCGCTGGACTCTGAATAAATGCACCTTGAATGCCATCCTTACCGAATGTCATTCCCGAACGAGATCCAGAGTAACAGGAGCCAAGATCTTGTAGACCGAAGTGAGAGTACCCTTTCCTGTTGGCAGCGCGAGCACATCTGAAATCGATAATTTAATGAATAAACTTGAAAATTCAAACGTTTGCGCTTGCCTGCATTGTAGCTTCCTTTCAAAGAATTTAGGGGAAAAGCACGAGTGTTATCCTCGAGATCAATTTTTCGTTTACATCTTGCGTCATCGCGGCCATGTTGACAGTTTTCTAAAATGCCTATAACTCTTCTGACAATATTCTCAGTATCGATTTTAGATGGGGTCAGGTTTTGAATGACCCCAAAACATTTCATAGTTTGAGTGCGGCTTCTTGAAGTTATAAAGGTTTTCCATGTCATATGCTAATGACGCGCCTCAGCATTCTCCATTTTTGTTCTTAAACTATGAATACTAGGAATATAGGTAAAAGTTGTGGTGGTTTTGTTGAGCTAACCTGCAGACAAGGTTTGGCAAGTAGTCATTCCATCGTTTGTAGTCCATAGGATTATCATTGTATTTTAAAGAGGTTGAGTCGACGTCACTCATTAGAAGCTCGGGCATTGGACGGTCATTTGCAAGGTTGTCTCTATAGCAACCAATTGGCTTGAATCTGACGTCGCCTGTGAATCAAGTTAAATATTAATATTAGAATGGTTTTACTTAACCAGTGAAACTGAAAATAGTAAGCAAAGAGTGATTTCCCCCAGATACAGTTTCTAGTAGTCAGTATATTTAATAGTCAAAAAGACAGAGGAAAACAATGAAAATAAGATACATTAACCTATATTAAATTTCTCATTTATATTATTATAAAATATTAAAGATATATTTGCGCGCACTGATTGGTCGGCTTCCGTGTTTATATCTTAGGACAATATTTATAGCAAAAATATTTTATGAAAGAAATATAAAACGGACGTTTAGGTCTTACACTGTGCTATAAACACTCTGGGAGCTATAGAGCACTCGAAAAGCAAGAAAAACACTCGACTACGCCTCGTGTTCCTAAGCTTGCTTCTCTCGTGCTCTACAGCTCCCAACGTGTTTATATCACAGTACAGAGACGTGCGCGCGCGTTTTATATTCCTTAAATAGATGCTAATTCCATTCCTTTTTTTTTTTTACTTTGACTATTACTCACTGATTATAACAATTTGTTACACTAAATACAATTACCGTGTAAGGAACACGTGCATTTTTTTATATAAATACTTACAGCAGTCTCTTGCTTTACAGTATGTATACTGTTTGTCATCTCCATCGCATTGCCTTCCCCCTTCCATGGGTTTAGGATTGTCACATCTTCGTTCTCTTGTTCGTATTCCGTCGCCGCATGACTGGGAGCATGTACTCCAAACTGACCATTCGCTCCAACGACCATCAGCTGGGATAAACAAAGTTCAGTTAAATTGAGAAAACTGTATTTTCGTGTCTGTATTTTCCTAGTTCAAAGATTATTTTGATTTTGTGTTGGATAATTGTAAACGACCTGGTGTTTTTTTTGTTGTAAATGACTTGATTTTGGCAAATGATTCAATAAATAATACTTACTTCGACAAGGCTTATTGAGACACAACTTCGTTTCTGTATCAGGACCCATGTAAGTACAAGTCAATCCACCGTGTTGTGGTACGGGATTTGCGCATGCGCGCCATCTTGTTTGGAGTCCAGTGCCACACCTCTTGTCACATACTGACCACTTGGACCATTCTGTATAATTACCGTTCACTGAAACAAGAGAACGAGGAAAGAATCTTATGTCAAGATCTCTTCTATTTTCATTCATCGTCGAGAGAAATTTTACCAAAAGCCTTTGGAAGAACGGTCGACACAGACGATTTTCTTGGATGGACAATAGTCTCCATCAAATGTAGCAGAGGATGAACTCTTAAGACAAGACCGCGTTAAATTACAGTCGAGTCGTTAACCGAAAGCTGAAAACTTGTGATGGCGTCCATTACTTGCCTCATGCTTCATCTTTTCATTTGTATATTGATACAGTGATAATTAATGAGACAAACTGCCAAAAAGTGCCGACGCTAATTCGGCTGTATTCTAATTCATTGCAACCACGATAACACGTAAATGTATTTTGTACTGTATTCCCTATAGAGGCTTTGCACTATCACGTGATTGCAGCCATGACAGGAGGCACAACAATAGAGTCTTTCAACCCTGAGAAACTAAATTCTTTCTTGTGTAAATCAGATTAGACCAGATTCAATTGTTCCTGCCTCCGGTCATGGCTGCCATCACTYGATGGTACAAAGCCTCTATAGTTCCGTCACCTTGACTATTGCTTTGAAGGAGGCATTGACACTATTTTGAGTGGAAAAGTCACCCTTGGGAGAGGATTTTTATTTGAGCGAGAGTAGCAGGGGATGACATACCTGGACAAGGCTGAGCTGTACAGTCACCAACTTGTTTGCTGGCACCTTCACATTTCTTGCCACCACTCTTTGGCTCAGGATTGCTACAGGTTCTCTTTCTTGCCCTGGTTCCAGGCCCGCAAGCAGTAGAACATGTACTCCAGTCTGACCATGCGCTCCAGGCTCCATCAACTAGAATTATAAAGAGTGTTAAAAACTCAATTTCATCAAACCCTGAAACAACCTCTTGGATGATCTAAGTCAGGGCACGGCTAACTCAAGGTTCCAATTAGAATTTATCGTCCGCCTCAGACGGCTATTTTATTGCGTGTCAAAGTATTTATTTAATGGCTGTCCAATGTGGAACGCTCTAAATAGAAACAGCATTCCGAATGATTACAAGCATCAGTGATTACAAACGGTAAAAAAATGTTTTAAATGAGGATAAAACGTACCCGAGCAGTCTTCGATGAAACACTTCTGTTCCTCAGTGTTAGGCCCAAGGTTTTGATCCAGACAAGTCAGACCTCCAAATTCAGGTTCAGGGCGGTTACAGAGTCTTGTCCTCTTCTTAACTCCTAATCCACAAGGCTTTGAGCATGTGCCCCAAGCCGACCATGATGAATAATTACCGTGGACTAAGAAATAATATACACATGTTAAGATTATTTGCATCCCTCACGTTTCTCACCATAGAACTGATTGAACTGTCCCTTTTCTCATTCGGTAAATACCGCTTTATTTTATGACATGTTAAAAAAATTTGCATCTCTTCTTATGTTTCTCACAGAATTGAGTTAATAATCCCTTTTCTCATTCGGTAATTACCGCCGTGTTTTATGACTTAAGATTCATTGTTACATGTTTTAGCCTTGTTTAGGAGCAAATCATTTGCAAAAGTCAACTGTAATATAAAGAATATGCTAATTGAACAATACCAATATTTTAATGGAATCTGCAAACAATTGACTTATCAACGAGACTTAACCTATACAATAGACCTCTTCGGCTCTGACGTAATGTCGTCCCATTTCAGACCACATGTCATTCCCTAGAGTATCATTTCTTTGCTTAAGGTTTGCGCTTGGTTGCACATGAGAATACACATGAATATGGATACAGCTCAAACGAAGAATCTTATTCTCAAGGGAATGACACGTGGTCTGAAATGGGAAAACATTACCCCAAGCCGAAGAGGTCTATTAAGTCTGTGGTCTTCAAAAACAGCGGTATGCGTGGAATGCGAAACTGGGTTATTAAATAATTTCCTTTAAAGCCTGAATATTACTTACTTGCACATGGTATGTTTTGGCAGGGTCTGATGTGTTCAGGGTCTCCTTGGTCCGTACAGTCTCGTCCGCCATGCATTGGTTCTGGATCGGTACAAGAGCGCCATCTTGTTTGAATGCCATAACCGCATGTTTGTGAACAAGATGACCATGGTGTCCAACCAGTGTACTTTCCATCAACTGAAGATCAATGACAGTATTTTACAAGGTATACTCATATATTCTAGTTATTAGAAGATTAAAGGTGTTGTTTGCACAGCAGGTGTAGCTCGGTTAGTGCGCGGCCTTCGGAGCTAGTGGTACCTGGTTCGATCCTCAGGAACTCTGTTTTGACTTCTCTCCAATCCGTATAGCTTCATCTTTGAATACTCTTAAAACAGAGCACTTATAGAGAAAAGGGAGTAAAGCGCGCACCGTCAGCTCCCTGGAAGACCAGGTACACACTGAAGAAACACTGACTTTAAATAAGGCCTTTATGTTTACTTTTGAGAATATTTTGATACTGAAGTGAGTCTTAATAACTCTCTTAAGAAACTCTGTAACAGCTCTGCATCGATCTTCAGAGCCGTCTTGTTTTGCAATTCATAAAGAAAAATGCTTTGATACTAAGTACTACTTAAAGGGTATTGCTGTTATAGATTGATTGATCATACCTGGACAATCAGCCCTAAAGCATTCCACGGACTCTTTCGCTGCTCCTAGACGGGCGCAGTCTACTCCACCATARGCAGGTTCGGGGTTAGTACAGTATCTGTTTCTCTCTTTGTAACCTTTACCACAAGACTTGGAACACGTGGTCCAATCTGACCACTCCGTGTAGTCGCCATTAACTAAAAATTAGGCAAAAATAATAGTGGAATAAGTAGAAACACATGTGGTGTAAGCTTACTCTTGTAAAAATAACTTGGCTGTCAATAGCAAAATACCAAGCAAGTTTTTTCAGAGCAGTTATAATTGAAAAATTCTCCTAAAACTTATTTGGTTACAATGATTAAAGTCATTGAGGTCAACGATTTTTCCTGGAATTTTATTGGTCTTACCTGGACAAGGCATAAGGTAGCATTTCGAAATCTCGACTGCAGAACCCATTTCTTGCTCAGCACATGATTTACCCCCAAACTGTGGCATTGGGGCATTACAAAACCTAGTTCTGTTCTTCATACCAATACCACATGTGGCGGTACATGGTGTCCATGGTGACCAAGGCGTGAATTTACCATTAACTAGAGAATAAAAAAATAAAACATTAACATACTAGACCTAGTGCTTTGAAAGAAGAATTGCAAGTGCTTACTTGGGCATGGCTCAGGCATGCACAGCCTAGTTTCCTTGCTGTCAGCTTCGCAGGATAACTTGGAGTTCTTAGGGTGCAAGCAGTCTCTTCTTCTTTGCTGAATTCCTCCACCGCACGTTGTTGTGCAGTCGGACCAGTCAGCCCAAGGACCACATCGACAAGTAGCTGAAACAGAATTATGATAGATCAAGTTAATACATGGGACGCAGAAACGTTTTAATTATGGAGAAGTTAACTTCGAAATGGAGCAGCGAAGATATTGAATTGATTTTTCCAGTAGATATAGAAACTTTGGGAGTTAAAAAGAAATGCATAAGAAATTAAATTTCGATGGAAATTAAAGCCATCCGCGATGCTAGAGCGATACTTTGCCAATTGAGCAACAGTGGATCGTGGAAAGCTTGTCGATAGGTAGTATTAGGAAATGTGTGAAGTCGGGTACTGTGTACTAAGTGTTCGTATTAACAGGTTGTCCGTATTATGCAGGTTTAATGTAAGAGTAAATACATATCATCGGGACAAAAAAGTATCCATTATAGCGGTGTCCGTATTAAGCAAGTTGTATCATTAAGGTTGATTTTCAATTTGAAAGTATGGCTACTATACCTGTGCATTCGACAAGTTCGCAGCTTTTCTTTTCAGTCGAAGGACCTTGTTCGTCACAGTTACGACCATCAGGAGATGGAGTCGGATTAGTACAATATCTCTGCCTTTCAACTGTTCCCACACCACAGGTGACTGAACAGGGTGACCATAGCGACCAGTTGCTATAGTTACCATGTACTGGACATTTATTCAAGTTACATATTTCAGTTTGATGCAGTGGACCTAGCGTGTTGCAGTCTGATCCACCAAACTGTGGAGGAGGGTTTGTGCAGGATCGTGAACGAATTCGTTTGCCGCCACCACACGTCTTGTCGCAGTCGCTCCAAGCACTCCAGAATCCATAATTACCATTTACTAAAATCAAACATGACAACATAAGAGTAAACCTTGAAACTGCATTTACTTTCTTTAAATATCATTGATGAACAAACATTTCCCACATTTGTAGTGTCATCTACTTGGAAAATGTCGAGTCCATAGACGTTTTTGTACGTCAACTGTCGCACTAAGAAGATTGCAGCATTTACTGAGGAGGGTACTATAACCTTAGAAAAGTAAGGCCATCCAAACAGCCCCATTTTTCTTGGGTTTGGCTTCCGTCGATCAAAAAATACCAACCAATAATATTAAAAATATGATTAAAAGAAGCCAAAATCAGACTTCTCGAATTAAGACAAGTAGATTGGTCGCGTTATTACAAAATAAATGGATATAACAAGAAAGTAAAAGTTACCAGGACATGGCTCATCTTGACAGCTCGCACTCTCAGTAGTAGGTCCCAGATCAGAGCAGTCTTTTCCTCCGTGCATTGACTGTGGGCTAGTACAGTTCCTTTGTCTGAACATGACACCACCTCCACAAGACGCAGAACATGTGGTCCAAGCCGACCAATGGTTGAATCCACCATTAACTACATAAAGAATATATGGAATAACTGTTATGAACGTCTATTCCTGATTATTTAGGTGTAGGTAATTTAAGTGTAGGTAATTTAGGAGAACACATGCCACCAGCGTCGACTTTTCTGTTCGATATTCTTATTTTAACAAACGGCTGTTTCAATTTGTATTTTAAAAAAGAAATGGAAAAACTTGTCCGCTACACTTTGTGCTTTTACTAACAATCGTTTTGTCCTTTCAGTCCCCGCTTGCTTTATGGGTGTCGCACACAGTGCGCGCGTTTTCTATTTCTTCAATGATTCTTAAAAAGACAGTCGACTGTTTACACTCTTAAAATTCTCACTGTTTTTCTTTCCTTTTCCTTATGCTTCGTCACTGGTTATTGGTGCCTCTCATCGCCTCTTAGACATTTTGTAATTCTCTAATTCCCCAATCGTACGAGACGGTTTTACCTTAATTTATCATTACTTAAAACTAATTCACATCATGGCTTTATTTACTCACGTGGACAAGGACGATCAAAGCAACGAGAAACTTCTTCTGCAGCTCCCAGGTCTTGCTCGGTACAGTTTTTCCCACCGTGGAGTGGTGCCGGATCAGTACAAGTTCGTGTTCTTCTCGTGATACCGCTGCCACATGATTTACTGCAGATGGTCCAACTAGACCAAGGACTGTACTGTCCGTTAACTGAGCGGGAAAAATGCATATCAAATGTCAGGTGTGTGCGAATTCGACTGGAATGGAAATGGCATGTACTAAATTTAACGCTGTACTCTCAGCATACGAAGGCAATGATGCATAGTGTTTCGTACATTCCAGCGAGAATTACTGAGTGCTTGTGAATCTTAATTAGTGCTCTCGTATGCTTTCCTTCGTTGTAGATATATTTTTTCTTGGCGAGCACCCAACGTCAAAGCCTTTAATAAATAAATTTAATATATCTGGTAACTTATTGCCAATTTTGAATAGGTTTGCTGGAGCTGAGGACTTCATACTCTTCTGTTGACTTACCAGCACAATCATGCATTTTGCATGTTTTGGCTTCAATGTTGGGGCCCAAAGCAGAGCAGTCGTCACCGCCGTGAGCAGGTTCTGGATTAGCACATATTCTTGTTCTGCTTGTTGTTCCCTCGCCACACGTCGCTGAACATGCACTCCACTTTGACCAAGCAGTGTAGTTTCCATGAACTGTTGAAAGTAATCGTTTAAAATCTATTATTATTGTGGCTTTCATGGCGTACGGTACTGTCTTACAGTACTTGCACGTACATGTCGTAAGATTGAAATGGCTCCCAATATCAATGGTTATCYGAATGGTTATGGTACTAAAATCGAGAAAATAGGAGATCCTTTGCACTTACGTGGGCATTCAGCGCTGTAGCACTGAACCTTCTGGATGCTTTCTCCAAGTCTTGAACAGTCCAGTCCTCCATTTGATGGAGCAGGATTCGTACATGAACGTGTCCTAGTTTTTTCTCCATAACCACACTTTTTAGAACAACCTTTCCATTCTGACCATATTGTGTAGTCCCCGTGTACTGTGAAGAGACGATTGCAAATTTTTAATGTATTCAGTTTTACTAATACTCTGTTATATACAGCTGTAGTTCCACGTAAATTTTATGTTTTGAACACACCGGCTCTCGACGTCTCCCCAAATCTATCTCGTATTTTTGTCAGACAACGAAATCACATGGAACCTTTTTTATTTGCCAACGAATAAAATCACTAGATACAGTCGTTGTTCATTCGAGTATATAAATCGATAACCGTTCGGCTAATCGATTCGTTATGACAAACCGAATTTACTTACTTGGGCATTGACGATTGTAGCAATGTTCGTGTTCAACGGCCAGTCCCATACCCTGTTCTTGACAGGATTTTCCTCCGAATTGCGGTGTTGGGTTAGTACAACTTCGTTCACGTGTTTTGATACCCACACCACAAGTGGTCGTACACGGCGTCCAATCAGAAAATTCAGTGTAGTTTCCATCGACTAAAAAGGAAAAAAAAAAATATTGCTATGTAACCATCTCGTGGTGACTAAATGAAAAATGTTTTTCGTCCCCGTCTTTTTTCATTTCATTTTCTTTCTTCCTTGTTTTTCGTTTTTACTTTCTTTTACGTTCTCTTCTCCCTCCTTTTTTTCTCTATTCCTGAGTGACCATTCAAAACTTTGACAAAGACATAGCGCAGCGCTCTACTCTTTAGTGAGGGAGAGAAGAATAGTATCCCTAAGGGGCAACCTATTAAAAACACATACATCCTGACTAAACGCCAATCATCAGGAAAAATATGTTAAACTACTTTTTCAATGGACCTGGTTACACGGAAAAACAAAATAAATTGTTTTCTTACCTGGACAATGCTGGCTGTTACAAAGACTAGACTCAACTCTTTCTCCAAGACAATATTGCAGTCCACCCGGATGGTTACACTGACGACTTCGAAATTGTATCCCGCCACCACATGGTCTTGTACACTCCGACCATTTTGACCAGACAGTCCAGTTACCACTCGATGGACACTCTTTCATATTGCATGGTTTCTGATCAAATGAGGGACCAAAGTTTGAGCAGTCTTTCCCTCCAGCTGAAGGAAAGGGGTTGTCGCATGTGCGGTGCCGAGAGATGATCCCTGGACCACACGTTCTGCTGCACTCGGTCCATCTTGTCCAAGGGGAGTACCCTCCGTCAACTAAAAACATCGTTCAAACCTATTAATTCACTGTGCATAGGCATTAGACATGACATTCCCTTGAGGATGATTTCTTTGGTTACGCACGAGAAGGTACGTTAATGTGGTTGTCATTCAAGCAAACGATGACATGGGTGCTTCCCAATGGAATACAGATTGTCCGACCAACAAATTTGAATTCATAAGATTTTTTAGTGGTTATCGATTTTTTTCTTAATTTGCCTTTAGAATGCATTGATTCTAAGACAGACATTTACATTTTTAAGCAATCGATGTCTGTTCCATTCTGTATATCAAAAACACATTTTAGCTTGTCCGACTTAGCAACATTAACTAGGGAGGTAGAACAATAAATGCAGGATTGGTGTATTACTATGAAGGTGATGATGATGACCATGTTAATGATGATGATAACATGACTGATGGTGATTTTGTTCCTACATACCTTGACATTCCTTATTGTTGCATAACTCTTCTTCCTTATCATTACCGTACCACGAGCAGTTGTGTCCTCCAGGACCAGGGGCAGGATTGGTGCAGTACCTGAATCGGTACCTTTTCCCCAACCCACAAGATTTGCTGCACTTCGTCCATCCCGTCCAGTCCGAGTACATCCCATCAGCTATGGGGAAATGAAGAAATTTTAGTGGTGTTTAAAATTGGCACAGGCCTGCCCTGAATTGAAGCTGAAAATACCACCCCACGTCTATGGAACGATTATGCAGACTTCCAATGATGATACCAATTCAAAAAAGGGTCTTAGATAAGACACAGGCCTGCCCTGAATTGAAGCTGAAAATACTACCCCACGTCTATGGAACGATTATGCAGTCTCCCAATGATGATACGAATTTAAAAAAGGGTATTAGATAAGACTTGAATGATGGACAACTTTCAAGATTTGGCTGGTAATTAAGGAAGTGCTAACAACGAAGCTAAACAAATCTTGACTCGAACGAAGTATGACAAAGAATTTTGGGTAAGACTYGAAAGTTGGGCAGTTTTCAACATTTCTCTGGAAAATACGGAAGTATCATAGAGATAGTTTCAATATCTTCTTGTTGCATGTAACACAATTTCAAAAATAACACGTGCAATTCTTGAGGTGCATGTTACATCATAGCCGCTTTTTTGGTTGACGATAACAAAGCATTCCTCATTAAGCTTCTCTTGTTAGATCGACCATCATGGCGGCTCTTTCGATGTTATTTATATCTCAAGGGATTTTGAGTCATTTCATTGCACCCCAAGAATAGGGGGGAAAAAACATAAAATAAACTCACTTGGACACTGATTAGTATTGCACGTCTGTGTAATTAAAGCTGGGCCAAGGTTCATAGCAATGCAATCGTTTCCACCATGAGCAGGTGAAGGATTGGTGCAAAGACGATATCTTTGCTGTACACCTCCTCCACAAGAGGCATCACAGTTGGTCCATTCGCTCCAGTTTCCATATCCTCCGTTAACTGAAAGAAAATGTTATATTGAGTACTGTAAACGCATTGCCCGTCATTTGCTGTCAACCAGAGAATCATCTAGTGTTTGGTATCAACCAGCTTAATGATTGTCATGAATCTTATTAACATCCTTAAATGGCAGGCAAACACTGCCCGTCAGGTGCTATCAACCGGAGAATGTTCTATTGCTTGTTGTCAATCAGCTATATGAGTCTCATTACCAGACTACAATGACAGACAAACACTGCCCGTCATGTGCTATCATCCAGAGAATGTTCTATTCCTTGTTATCAACCAGCTGAATGAATGTCATGAATCTTATTACCATCCTTAAATGACAGACAAACACTTCCTGTCATGTACTATCACCCACAGAGTTTTCATTGCCTGGTATCAACCAGCTGAATGAATGTCATGAATCTTATTACCATCCTTAAATGACAGACAAACACTGCCCGTCATGTGCTATCACCCACAGAGTATTCTATTGCTTGGTATCAATCAGCTAAATGAATCTCATGAATCACATTACCAGCCAACATTGACAGGCAAACACCGACCATCATGTGCTATCATCCAGAGAATTTTTTACTCCTTCTTATTAATCAGCTAAATGAATCCCTTTACTAGCCTCGTAAAATGACAAACAATCAAAAGTTTCTCGTAATTTAAAGTGTTTTCTTTCAAAATCACTTATATGTGAATAGTGTAGTAGTATGGTTGCAGTATTTTTGCATATTGATATTTCAAATTAATGTTTATATCTCTGAAACAAGAAGACCACATACAAAATAATTGCAACCATACTACTACAATGTTCAAATATAAGTGATTTACACTTTGACGATTTTACTTACTTGGACATAGTCTGATGTTACATTCTTTGGTCTCTAGTCCTGGTCCAAGAGAATCACAAACTGCTCCTCCTGGAGCGTTAGTTGGGTTGAGGCATTTCCTCGTTCTCTCCTGAGTGCCGCCTCCACATGATGCTGAACACCCTGACCAATCAGACCAGGATGAATACAGTCCCGTTACTAGCGCTAGGAAATAAAAATAGCAGACATTAGAAAATATTTTGTTGGGAAACTTGGGTACCTTTATTTTTACAGAAATAGCTTCTATCTTTGTTTGTTGGTTTGTTTGTTTGTTGGTTTCAATTCTTTCAATTCTTTCTTCCTTCCTTCCTTCCTTCCTTCCTTCCTTCCTTCCTTTCTGTCTGTCTGTCTGTCTGTCTGTCTGTATGTCTGTATGTCTGTCTAACAGTTATCGTAGATTGATAAGTTATACACCGTAGTGAAAATAGGAACTGACGTTTCTGACGTTAGTCCTTCGTCGGAGTCAATCAATCCGACGAAGGACTAACGTCCGAAACGTCAGTTCCTATTTTCACTACGGTGTATAACTTATCAATCTACGATAACTGTTTCATTAGAAACACCGACGCAGTCCACGCTAGTGTTTACTAGCCATTATCTACATATTGTATGTCTGTCTGTCTGTCTGTCTTTCTTTATTTCCCAGTCATTACTCATCTCAAGAGTAAGTATATATATTTTTTAATCTTAACGATTTTTCGAACGAAAAAATTTAAGATTAGCCAATCCCCTTGGCTGTACTAAGTGTGTTTTAAACTCGCTCAACCAACCTGTTGATGGCAGGAATGTATCCACGATTTCATCGTTGTGCTGAGAGTTTAAAAAGCTCACTTTGATAGTCTTTTCTGCTTCTGCTTCTGCTTCCATTTCGTCTGACATTTCCTCTCCCTGGCCTGTGAATGAGAACACAAACGTTAAACAATTTAACATTCGGGTAGAAAGGGCGTAAGCATATTCCCCATTTCAGATCACGTGTCATTCTCTTGAGAATAAGATTCTTTGTTTGAATTGTATCCATATCCATGTGTCTTCTTATGCGCAGCCGTTAAACAAAGAAATTATACTTTAGGGAATGGCACGCGGTCTGAAATGTGAAAGCGCCCTAGTTCTAAAGGTTTAAATGCCGTGTCGTGAAGAATTTCGCCAACTCGGACATCTTACTTACCAAGACAGTTACCCCACATGCCATCAATGTCAAAGTCAGACGACACAGCACACCACGGTTTACTGTGATTTTCTTCGATACACTTTGTATACTGTTTGTTCTTGTAACTGAATGGGAAAACGCAGCACGAGCCGGCGCTATTACCTCCGTATGTCTTGGTGCACTTTGAATTCACACCTGGATAAAAATATAACCAGTAATTAGAATCCTTTACGTTTAGTATTTATAGAACGACCTTCCGATTTTATGGAACCCTGAAACAACCTTTGGGCTGATCTAAGTCAGGGCATGGCTAACTCACAGATCAAACCCTGAAACAGCCTCTGGACTGATCAAAGTCAGGGTACGACTAACTCACAGGTCGAACCCTGAAACAACCACTGGGCTGATCTAAGTCAGGGCATGGCTATCTCACAGATCACTCACCTTCATTAGGAGGACATTCAGGGCAACACTTCCATCTTCTCTTTATCGTATTTTTGCAGTGTAATTTGGGACACTCGATGATTGTGCAGTGGATTTTTCCATTATGGCAACGGCATTCAGGAGTACACGGTCCTGGTGACCAGCGTTCTCCGTGTTTGTGCACTAAACCATCGTAGAAACATTCATCTGGAAGTACAAGGTGAGGAGAAAGTTTGTTAGTCTTTGTTAAACATCTATATGGTTTTTTGATAGTACCCCCCCCCCCTCCACCAGTGAATTTCGTGAAAGTAAGTGATGAGCACACCACGTGGTCATGGTAATGAACTGACACTCTCCGCTGAACCAATCACAGCTCGCCGAACTATTGCTCAACCAATCAAACGTTTGTACCGTCACTGCTACGACGTGACAACAAACTCGTACGTTTTTCACAACCATACGAAACCTTTAGCCATGCCCAACCACAACCAAAATAGACCAATTCGGCAAACGTCATATTTTGCTCATTTCAATTCTACTAGGAATACTTTTCTTTGTCTATTATATTTACATATCATATCTATATCAATGCTTCATTGACATGGAAATATAATGGAAAAAAGAATAGCATTCCCAGTAGATTTGAATTGGGTAAAACATTCGGTTAGCTGAATTGGTGTATCATATGGTTTTGCAAGCTTTGGTGTTTGTATACTTTGTAAGCAAGGTATCATGCAAAGTCAGTGTGAAAAGTTATGCCTATAGAAAGCCAAGCAAATGTGTCATACGTACTGTTATTTCCTGGCTCTGCCAGCGTCACGTTGGCTGCATGCAAGAAAACCACATTTTAGTCAAGTCAAACAATATTAAGTCATTTAAGAAGGCTCGAAATATTTCTTAGAGCACGCGCGTCAAATCAACTCGTAAATTATAATTATCTATTGGCTGTCTTATATAAATTGGGTTGCAAAACCTGTTAGCCATTAAGCCGTCCTCCCAGGAGTGGTCAACGCATTAGGTTTTAGATTGGATGGGGGGGGGGGGGGGGGGGGGGGGGGGGGAATAGCGTATCCCAAAATAAAAAGTTTTGACTGAATAGTTTTTGGATTATTATGCTTTGAAAAACATGAAAATCTGATCCAAAAGTCGAACAGTATCATGATTTAATAGCCGTTCGAGCGCGCGTGACCAACAAAACCGTTTCGAATATCCTTAAGTAAGTCGGAGAATACGATGTATTGGTTACTTACCCTCCCCTACTTGGGCTGATAGTGCTACATTGTCTGTTGTAGAGGCCACTGAAAGTAAAGGTAAATAGTCAAAAAGCGAATCAATTTATCAGAAGTAAACTTTTTTTCCTTTTTCCTAATATCCCATTATGCTTTGCTTTGTGAGGGGTAACCAATCAAAAAAACTGTTCTTCAATTGAATATACACTATATCTGCTTTTATCTGT